CCTCCCTTGAAGGATTGATCAGCGTTGATGAGATCCCCCTCAGTCTTCTCCTCTCCAGACTGAACAGCCCCACGTCCCTCAGCCTTTCCTCAGCAGAGAGATGCTCCAGTCCCCTCCTCACCTCCGTAGCCCTTTGCTGGACACTCTCCAGCAGTTCCCTGTCCTTCTTGACCCGGGGAGCCCCGAACTGGACACAGTGCTCCAGATGTGGCCTCACTGGGGCAGAGCAGAGGGGGAGGATGACCTCCCTCCACCTGCTGGCCACACTCTGCTTGATGCCCCCCAGGATGCCATTGGCCTTCTTGGCCACCAGGGCACATTGCTGCCTCATGGGCATCCTGTTGGCCACCAGGACTCCCAGGTCCCTTCCCACAGCGCTGCTCCCCAGCAGGTCAGCCCCCAACCTGTACTGGTGCAGGGGGTTATCCCTCCCCAGATGCAGTACCCTACACTTGCTCTTGGTGAACTTCATTAGGTTTCTGTCTGCCCAACTCTCCAGCCTGACCAGGTCACACTGAATGGCGGCACAGCCTTCTGGCGTGTCAGCCACTCCTCCCAGTTACATGAAAACATTGAGAATATTAAATGCTTTCCTCAGTTGTGGTGTGGAATGATACAAGGTGAATCTCTTTCCCAGGTTTGACAATACTATCTTGAAAACTAGTTAGGCTTCGTTATTTTCTGAACATTCAAAAAGCCAAAGCTATAGGTAGGATGGGTGTAAATGCCTTATATGCGTTCGTGAAATAGACAGGGTTTATTTTGAGACACACAATACCCCTACTTTCCCTTCTGGTCAGAGTAGCAACCTATGAACAACTGACAAACAGGCTGCACGTACAGCAACTCCCAACTGAAATTAATGAATTGAAAGTATCTGCTGCAAGCTCTTCATATTGACAGTATAAGGACATAGAAGACCCATCGCTTTTTTAGAGATTGAAATTTTAATCCAGACTTTCCCTTCTTATTGGTGATTTCAGTCCATCAGTAGCTCAAGCAAAATCAAAACATCTTAAGCAACTTGCCCAAACTCTTGCTTTCTTCAGGCAAGACACAGGTTTTACTGGAGACAGAAGCGCACCTGTTTGGAAGACCTACAGCCAACCAGCTCACCACCTCTGTGTCCGTGAGCCAGCACAACCCACAGGGTTCCAGTGGCTACGAAACGACTTCGTAAAACAGCCTATTACACTCTTAAAAGTATCCGTTGTTAATACACAGAGAAGGCTCAGGGAACAAATGAGAAAATTAACTGGAAAGACAGGACACATGCGTGAGCTCCATCCCCCTACCTCTGTATCCCTTTAAAAAAATACCATCTGGGCGACTCTCACAGCACGCGATCACCAGCTGCAATTACTGTTTAGGGTACACCACTCTAACGACAAGTCCGAGTCAGGCGCCACTCAAGTAATTTTGACAGGAAGAACTGCAGTGTCCCGATGTTCAAAAGGGAACAATTTATCCCCCGCTTACTTTGCGTATGCAACACAAAGCAACAGACTGACCTTTCGGCTTACAGTCATTTGTTATTATCTTAATCCTAACTGTTAGCAGTTGTCTGTCTTCAGTCACTGTCTTAATTTCAGTGAGCAGGATAATTAAGTGCAGCTTAGAGACACCTGGCATAGACCATGTGAGAAAAAGAGTGGATCACTTATGGTACGTGGCATTATACTTTAGCCTTAAAAACATCTAGCAGCTTTTTTCAAATGCAGCCGTGAAAGCATAATAAAATCAGAGAAATTAAAAATAATAGGGGATAGGACACCCAGCCCAATTAGGTCAACAGAGGGAAGTTTCAAGAAACATGCGTCCAGAGAGAAAGTTTTGGGCAACAGTCAAAGTGTACACCTCAAGCCGGAGAGCCATCAGGGGCAAGCGCTCAGAACATCAGAAGAAAATCCATTATCAGCAAAGACAATCAATAACTAAGACCAAAAGGACATGCACAATCCTTCCAGTCATTTCTGAATTGTAGATCAATTAACAGACATCACTGCAGGGCATCAAATTCCCCGATTTTACTGTAAACACAGCTAGCAGCATTTTAGCAATATATTTCCATCAGGTAAAATAGGGATTATAGAAGCACCAAATAAAAAGACAAAGAACTAACTTCCCAGCACCATTAATTGTCATTAAGCAAGGAAAGCAAGAAAAAGAAAGTAATTGTCACTGTTTAAAAAACTATTTAAATATAAAATAATATAACTTAATCTTACCTGTTTGCTTCCCTTCATAAAAAGCATCACAGGAGCTTTGTTGATCAAGTTTTTAAGCCTCCAGAAGGCAGGAAACAGAAAGACATAAAACAGCTCAGTTATTACCCCAAGCTTTGTTTCAACAGGAAAACAAAAAGTGGAAAGACAGCAACTTACAACTTTACCAAATGTATTTAAAGCTTTATTATAAGCAAGGCTATTCATTTAAATTGCTTACAGTAACTCTACTGAAAGAAGTTGAACCTTCCTGTTACTTTTAGAGCAACGATCTAGATTTACCCCTAAGTACCAAGCAGCAATACATTTTAGGGGAAACACAATTTTAGGATTATTTTAAATACAATGTGTATTTTTACTCACATACTGCTTTTTTTCACATACTGAATATAATACTTGGCATTTTTTTGAATATAATACTCAGCATTTTTCATTCTCCATGAGAGAATGTCTTTTGCAGAGTAAGAGCCATCCCTATTGTCCATCAGCCCTAAGATCTATGGATTTATGGCTTAAGGACTTAACACTACTGAAATTCAGGAACAGGTCTGTCTTGCCCCATTGTGCCTTGTCCACTTCTGGTCTATCCACACAACCCTCAGACACTCCCCTCCTTTCCCTCTCCTTTTAGGAAAGGTTTTCTGCGCCAATTGATGACAAAAGTTAGCAAAGATTCCCGTCCAACAGTTTCCTGGTGTTCTGTAAAAGGTCACTTTGCACGACTCACACAACGCAAAAAGATTCCAGCCTGGAGAACCCAGGCTATTTGCAAAATCAAACTAAATGAAGTTTTGTTGGTGACTTACAGTCTTTGCACTTGTAAACCTCAAACCAGTTTTTCCAACCAAGTTGTCTCAAGGTTAAAAAGCAACAGCGACGCTAACAGCTCCAGCAAGGGTGAGCTACGGTAATCTGAGCTGGTTCCCCGGCTGCCAGATCCGTTTTGTGAAACCAAGCTGGCTTCCAGGGTCCATTTTCAAGGGTATTTAAGAACATGCAGTTATTTGATGGGAAGAGATCAAACATGGGGTAAAGGAACATAATTTAGCATTAAATAGTCTACTACTGATATTCCTTCATTTGATTAAGTCTTAACATGTTGGAATAACTACCGCATAGGGTTTTCCTAGTGAGTGACTGCGAGAATGAATGCAGTTCGAAAGAGGCGTCAGTTGCTCAAAAGTCAATATGAGATTAGCTACAAAGAAAAACTAATCTGTGTCATGGAAAAAGAACTTTCCAATTGTCATCAGAAAAGAAACCTCAGCTAATAAAGGAACAAACTCCCACTAAAAGACGAAGAACAAACCAGGCAGTAGCAGCTGCATGTGACTTGCCCGGTGGATTTTTAGCCAGTCTGCCTTCAGGCCGCTTCTACATCGAAATTTGATACAATTGATAAAAACTTCACACAGCTATTCCAAAGATGCTGCTGTTGCTCCTTTAGGGAGACCTTTAGCTATACCAACAATTTTCATCTATTAAAACACATTAGGTAAGCATTTCACATTACCTTCTTTCCCAAAAGAAGACTAAGCAAAGCAAAAAAAACCAAACAACCCTGTGTATGAATTCAATAAAGTTGCAGCTTATGCAAGTTAGCAAAAAGGAAGGAATAGACTAAAGGAAACTTTCTTAAATAAGTTTTTAAAAGGCCACACTGAGGCAATCTCTTCTCTGCCTGTAATTTAATCTCAAACTGCAAAATGTAGTGACTGTTTTTTGCAGCCTTGGTGAAACCATTTACAAATTACCCTACTAGAGGAACAGAAGGTAAACCTCAGCCATAGAACAAATTAAAAAGGGAATTAATAAACACAGCTGTGAAAGTAAGTATACTTTATCACCATATCAAAACAGCTTGCATTAAATTATTTCTCCACTGTGCAGAGAAGGCAAAAGAACCAGTCCCATCTAAAGCACTGCAAAACTTGCTCTTAGCATCCTCAGACAGCAAGAGGCAATCTGCGCTAAAATATTTGCCTTCGAGGTACAAGCCACCTTCTTGGTAAGCCAGCCCCCCTTTGCATGTCTTAATGGCACTATTCACATGAAAACTAGGGAAAAAAAAAAAAAAAGCTGCAACTACTGGCAACTTCTCAAGCTGAATGACTCCTCAGATATCTGGAGCTTGACTGCCTGGGGCACCTCAGAATTTCAAACAAGAGCGAATCTTCAAATGGGAAGGTTAGAGGAGGACAAATTGGTTTCTAGATATTACATCCGATTCAGGAAGCAACACACTTCCTACCGATGCAGCATACATTCACGTTGCCAAGGTGAAAGAAAATAGGAACTGAAGGACATGAGTAATCAAGAAAAATGAGGAGACAAGCCTAGGTACGTTCTCCAGTGACACTGTAGTTATGAAGTCTATATCAAATAAAGCTAACAAAGCGACTAATGTTTAAAAGATGATTTTTTTTTTCAGTTATCTTTAAAGAATAAATTCTTAAGAGAGAGACAAGAAGGAATCTATATACTCTTGCTATAATTAAAAATTAACAAGATACAAATATAATAAGTAAAGCCTATTGGAACAGTATAGCTTAATACATATACAACAGTATAACTCTGTATTAAGTGATGCTTACTGTATAGAAAATGGAACATATTAAACAACTGCAGGAGTTGTGTAATTAAAAAAATCTTGATGTACTTCTGATAAAGTCAAAGAAGAGAAATTGATATAGGGGTGTCCCCCTATATAAATGGACATACAGGAAACCTCAAAACTAGATACCCTTAAAATAACGACATAATACATCACACCTGTCCTCCAACTTCTGTGCCTTCGGACAGACTGTGTCCAGTTCTCCAGACGCCTCAAGTTCCTAGGGAGATTGGGGAGAAGAAAAATCAGATGCAAAAAGCAAGAAAAACATGCTTCTGACAACTAACAAGATTAAGAATTTCTGTTTCTAACCTTGACAATATCAAGTCCACCTATAAGCTCTCCAGCTACATACAACTGTGGATAAGTTGGCCAATTAGAGTATGTTTTCAGCCCCTGACGAACTTCTTCATCAGAAAAAATATCAAAACTGCTAAAAGAAATACCATGTTTGTTCAATATCTCCACCATTTGTTTGCTGAAACCTGCAAACACAAAAAGAGGAATTACATATAACTTTAAACAAAGCGTTCCCATGTCTGTACTAAATCTTTTTCATTTAAAAAATGCAATTCTGCTAGATAGTAAGTTCAAAACAGCTCTAGCATGTTATTCTTTGCTCTATCAATATCCTCTAATATTATAAAGGGGCAAAGCCCATACGTATTACTGGGATTACAAAACCAAAGTACATGGACAGCTTGCTAAGTCTGCTGCTCCTCTGTTCACACAGCTACACAGTGACCAACCTTCATACCCGTGTCCCTGTTGTTCCAACATACAGTTAAAGCAAAGATAAATGCATTCCCTTTTTGTCTTTTCCAGCTCTTCTTCATTTAGCATTCGTAAAGAAGAAAAGCTTCTCGATGACCGTAACAGCGCCCTCAACAGCCGCCTTCTCATTCCTCTGACTGCACATCACTTCCCCTGCCCCTGTCATTTCTTCCTCCAGCTACTGCTGAACTTCTCCTACACCAAACCTGCAGGAAGCGGACACACAAAGCGGGAACCAGGACTTAAACCCACTACGGCGTCGCTAGTTTAACTTAGAAACTTGGCGTTCATAATGGTTTCTACTACTTTTGGTTTTAGAGCGTGCCCTTTCCTACTTCATGGTAAAAGGCACATTCCTTTTTTCTTTTTCAACTCGTTACGTTCACATGTGTACTTAATATTATTTTAGCGCCCTTGTGACACATTCACAGCATGTTTTGTTTACCTTCATGACAGATCTCCATGATGTCCTACTCTTGACAACACTATCTCAGCAGGATATTAAGCACTGAATATTACGATGTAAACATCCAGATTTTGTAAGTTTATTAAGTGGTCGACCTTAGGGGAAAAAATAAGTTTCTCCCTTCTCTAACTAAGCATCTTTTTCCTAAGAAAATCATCACATTATTTGTAAAAAGTTCTATGTATAAAAACTGTAGTACTATAGAATTTACAATCTATAATCACCTAAATCTTCTCACACGAGGGGGAAACCCCCACAAAATTTCACTTTCAAACAATTCTTCTACTCCATTATAAATTCACCATTCTCATTAAAGCGAAACATTAAATTGATTTTAAAAAAAAAGATGACAAATTGGTTTTTAAAGCATTAGTCTCTACAGAAAGTCTTCAAAATCACTTTGAAAACCAAACCACCCACACTGCGGCTGCACCCTTTATGCCAACAAGTCCACTTGCGTTGCCACAGAAGCCCAAATGGTCCCCCAGAGAAGACATCAGCCTACGGGAGGTGTCACAGCGTACTGCAGGCATTTACTCCGTTAGAAAATGGAAGAGAAGAGGTCTGCTGGACTTTACAACGCGAAGAAGGCACCAACTTGATCTTTAGGACCATTGATCAACCCTTGATTCGCAACTCCACTATTCCTCCACAACCTACTCGCTCTGCTATGAAAATTAAGCTAATCAGGAAAAAATGCTAAGTGCGTTGCAACACATTGAAAGATTTTGGAGTTTTGCTTCATTTCTAACACGTGGTCTTTATCCTAAAGTATTTCAACACCTGCCACTGGCTTTTACGCACATCCCTTCTAAGGACATAGAAGCCTCCTAGACAGCACCATCACACGGTTTGCAAAAAGGCTCCATGAGAATTTGGCCATAAATCAATGTGATAATAATGTATGATTTATAACTTTGCCAACTCATTCTGGTTTGGATTCAAACGCCCTTGCAATCCTACCAATTCCCTCAAAGAATCCCAACAAAAGCTGTGCAGACAAATGAAAACCTCTATACAAATATTAAAAAAAAAAAAAAAGACAGACAATGCTTAAAGGCTTTAATAAAGGAATAAAAAAATAAAGCAGCTTTAAATGGGAAAAAGAATCAAAGTGCCATAGAAAAATAACCTTTGATTTCAGCTTGCAAGACCACCTATTAGTTTTTGAAATATGGATTTTTACTACAGCGTTCTGCAGTTTTCATGATCTGCTATTTATTGAGATACGAAGTAGCTGTATTTATATGTATGGCATCTTAGTTGCTTTTCTTTCTACAACTGAAGTGTTAAGTTCATGTACAGCCTGAAGTAAAACACAGATTCTGAAATTTTTCATACATCTGGGAGTTCATTAGTAAACAGCTAAAGGCTGATTGCTGATGGTTATTCCATCGCCAATATATTAACTCATTTCTACTGTAAGGAACTGGGGGGGGGAGCTTTATTTTAGCTGTAGGCAGTTACATGCAAACTAGAAAGATTGATTGGTTGTGTTTCATTTTGAAGGGCTACGGTAGCAGTCTGGAAGTGTTATGCTTAGGGATAAAGTGCCAGAACAGCTTTACTTTCATAACAAAAGATTTAAGTTGAATTTCTGAAGAAATGCCATACATGCATTACCAGGAATAATTAAACTGCTAACAAAATGTTTTAAGCGGTTATCTAGACTATCACAAATGCCACTCCAGATTGTACACAATAAAAAACACCCTAAATAAATTACGGTATTGATGAAGCAAATAAACAAACACTACCACAGTCCAAATGAATCCACCGAAATTATACAACGTATACAGCAACCACATACAATTTCCAGTAAACACACAGCTGAGGGGACAAACCTTCCTTTGCACGATGCTGGCTTTTCCAATGAAGAAATTACAAACTACAAGATCCCAAAATACACACGCTGGTGGATAGGGTTCCCTCTACTTGCCAACTGCACTGGAGACTCCAGTGCACGTTCATTATTTGTATCAAAATAGACACAATTAAAAAATATCCTCACCTTTAAACAAGCATGGCTTGCTTAAATTCTATTTTTATTATTCCTACTACTGTCATAAAAGATCCATATAATCTTTGACAAAATGGCAAATTACCTTCATCTTGAAAAAGATTTTTGTCTATTCTAGGAAGTTCAATGGACGCAATTTACTAACATTTCTCAACTACTGCCAAAACTGCCACAGCAGTCTAAAGCAGGCACGGTATTTAACTGCAAAATTAAAAGCTGTAAGTTCAGATGATTTCATTTCACTACCTTTTAATACCTCCAATTTTAATACATACATCTATTTAGGTGAGTACCTCCTGTACACTTTTCATGGGGTACCAGGGATCAAATGTAAGAACTGAAAGCTTGAAGAAATATCTACTTTATCATAGTAAGATATGCAAATCAACCCGTGTTATACTCCTAAGTCGCTTTCCATATTGAGTTATGGCGAAGTACCTAACTAACCTTAACCTTGATGCCTCAACATCATTTTGGGTTTTGGTGAGGTTTTCTTAAAGAGCCTCACGCTTCTCTCCCATCAAAGATTCAAACACAGGAAAAACAGTTAATGGTCTTTTTCTCCACCCAACTTTAAGATCTGCCTAGCGTTCTGCTCAACGCCCTTTCGAAAGGCAGCTCTCTGCTGGGCACCCACAGAAATCCAAAGGAGAAACGGTGTGCCAGCACTATCAGGCTGAGGCAGAGGCTGGCTCGGGCGTAACGGAGAGCCGGGGCGCAGGAGCAGTTTGGGGGAGACTCACACTGCCTTCACACCGCCTGTGCTCACCACCGACACGGCAAGAACCACGCTCCACGCTGACAGCTAGCCACAAACCTGCTCGCAGCAGGTGAGCTAAACAACTCACAGCGCAAGCACAGCAGGTTCACCTACAGCAGTGCTACATTACCATCCAATACAGCCTGACTTAAAGCACTCATATCCCAGTGACCTGAACTGTAGACACCCCAAATGTACTCGTAAATCTATCAGCAGCTCATCAGAGCAGGGCTCTGTTGCGTACAGAATTATAGGACGTATCAATGGATGCACTTCACAAGTCTACTTGAGAATAAGCCAGAATTTCCATTCCTAGAAAATGACATATAAATCCCTATGACAATATGTAACTTTCTCGCACCTATAACTGTATTGTTACATTACAAACAAATACAGAATTATCTTTACATAAATAGCTGGAACTTCATCAGCTCTACAGAGGAGCAAATGCCTATGCACAAACTGCTAGAATCCCAAGTTAATACACAATAGCGCAATCAAAGTTCTGAAATCTGCGGTTATTTCTGAAACTGCTTCTACTGAAGAGGTTCTGGAGCCCATTAATGCATTGAAATGAAACAGCAGCCTTGAAACTAC